TCCTTGTTGATCTTGTTTATCATATTTTTACTTCAAGGTATTAATTAATTACGCATTTATGGTTTCACTTTCAGATTTTAGAAAATTTTAGATAATATTAATATTGTAATATGAAATAGTGACCCCATCACAGAAAGAGTAATTAGTTCCATGAGGCTTAGTTTATTATCAACTGCAAGTACGCTTATGTTGGTGGTCTCTTGAAACAGCAATTATAACAGAAACTGTAACAAAAAACATTGGAATATTTGAATTGTTATGTCTGAAGTGAACCTGAATATGTCTAAAGAAAATCAAAGCAATTATGCAGTTCTCTTCAAATGTGCCTATCATTGTCGGCGTGAAAATGCAATTTTGAGTATTTGAAAAAATAAATAAATAAATAAAAAGAGTTAAGAAATGACGAAAAATAGATTAATTAATTACAACCTGTCTGTGGTACTGTATTCCTAGAAGGTTTCGAGAAAACAATAATTGGCGGAAGGTTCGTGCAATCAAAGTGACCGTGAAATTTTAACATGGAACAAACAAACGCTGCTGCTTAAGATCAAACTCGTTGATTTGGTATGAAAGAAAGATAAATTTCATTATTGTGCAAAATTGACTAAAATATGTTCATGAACATTATTAAATCGAATGAAAAATTTAAATATAATTAACAAATTATGCTCTTCTTTCCCCCGACAAAAATAAGATATTTATATAATATAAACTTAATTTATGACTTAAATGTATTGCTACAACTTAAATTGCAATTGCTCAATTTAAAACAATACTATCATAAACAAATTCAGATCTTATAAGAATAAATGATGTTACCACTTCTAAGTCAATTTCTCTATCCAAAATTCTACAGAATATTAAACCGGTTACAGTCATTTTAAATAAAACAACAATAATTATTTTGATTTATATTTGACAGTTCGTTAGATACATATGGAGAAATGAAGAACAATCCAATCATTTAATACTCCAAAGCAGCTTTTTGTAAAGAAAAAAACATGACTGATTTATTCTTGTCCTGGGAACATATTTATCTCAATAATTGCGAACTGATATTTTATGCCTTTTCAGTTAGTATGTTATGAAAATGATTGTATCGTTAACGACATATTTTTATAAATTATGAAGGTATTGTTCTAGTTTTAAACATTCCTGTATTTAGTCGTCTTCATTTACAGTCAAGCAAGTCGGGGTCAAAGAGATGAGTTTCCCCATTTTTGAAGAAATACATAGTCCGTAATTGTCATCTTTTTTTACAGACGGTTGACAGGTGCGATTTTTAACATTCGGCGAGACGCATGTTTTTTGTAGGATTGCCATTCTGATATTAATATCATAACACATTCTTGTTTTTGTTGTTGTTTTTTTGTGTTTGTTTTTTCATGGGTGGGCATTCTATACATTAAGTTGCATCCATTAATTTACCCAGCCAAGGTACGATATTTTCCTACATTTACTGTATAAGATAAAGTCTATATTTATATAGTATTTTCTTGGTAATGTTTTTGTTTGGTTACAGAGGAAGATGAAGTGTCAGTGATAAACTTTCGATGGCTCTCAGGGGAACAGTTATTACTGGAACGATTAAACTGTGTCTGTTGAAAGTATATGACTGAACTTATTTTGTTTCATGATATAAAGGCCGGGTGCGAAAATATACTGAAGTAAATTGCTTCTGATTTTTATATTTTATTTGATTTGTTTACTCCAGGCTTTCATAATGTTTGTTGATTTCCCCTCTGGTACTTATAAAAGTGTGATGTTGTCATGTTATCTTAACATGTCCTTCTGAGAAAGTAAATTGATCTAGCTTAAGGACAAACTTTAAACACGATAAACTCTTATAATAAATAAGATCGGAACCATTATTTTAATACTTCAAATAGAATTACATAAAAAGCATAATTAAACAACGCTCTTAAATTTTATAGCTTTTACGTTATAACAGTGATAAAATAAATGTTCTTCTCATGTGTCAATTTACAGCGAGGGAACGTGAAACAAGTGTTCAATGTACAATAACAAAAATGGTTATTTCGTCGGGAAAAAATCTAATAAAATGTTAGGTCAACAAACTATAAAACGAGGGGAATTTCCTTAATCAAAAGCAGTATGAGCAATTTGAATAAATATATTTCAAAAAACATAAATGTACTAATTTAAAAAAGTTCTTGTTTAAGTTATGATTTATGAAACACGAATTTGTAATATAAATTAGGTAATATTAAATGTTTGTAATGAATTATGTTTTTTTTTAATGATATAAACGTCTCCAATCATTGAAGTAATTGGAGTATAACAATAAACAGTGTTTTGGTCCAAAAGGCATCAAGGCTTAGACTTGTTTACGAAATGATGAATACAACGCTTAATGCTTATCTGCGTCGAACAATTAAACACTATGAACGTAGAGAAAACCGGATAAAAGAAAATCGTGGTAATTATCATTTGATATTGAAGTTAATGTAAGATTTGATTTTACATATTTTTCTAATTCTTATATTTATATTTTCATCAGGTGTAATCATGAAAAATGTAGCAATGTTCCTAGTCTCGATATCAGAGTTTTAAACACTTTAGACTTTTTTTTACCTTATAACAATAATATACAAACACACACAAACCAACGTTTTTGATCACGCTGACGGAAAGCATCAAAAGCATTATTTTTATTTAGAAATCATTTGTACGGTACTTCATTCTAATGAAACGCTTTTTCTTCTTTACAGTTCTTATAATACAGGGTTGATGCTTATATTTTCGATGAATACCATTTGCTGATATAGGAGATAATGCTTTTTTTAAATCAGTGCCAGCAAGATTAGGAGTAATGTATTTTCCTTCGGAGGCAATAATCACAACAACATTACATGAAAATTGCAGACTCGGTTTGATTTACATGAGGCATAATGAAAGAAATGCATCATTCCCAATGCCCCTAGCACCGGCTTGAGTGGTACTCAATTTTTAAGAATTAAAAGTTTTGGTATCAATGATCCCGACGGAGGTGAAAAATAAAAAAACACTGATGTGAAGTACGGGCACCTTTTTACAGCTGCCACACATCACTGACACCTGCTGTTGTGAAGTATAAAGTAACAAGTCCGGTATCCATTAAACAGTGCACAAAATATAAGTCGTCTAATTCGGTAATACATCGTTTTATTATTTGTTCATCGGATAATGTGTGGTCAACCTTTACACGTGCTAGTGCAATTTCACTGATTTTGACAGGTCTGTTTTGATAGCAAGATTACCTGTGCCGACATTGCAGTAAGCAGTTTATTTGCTCATGAACATCGACGCGTGCTCACGTGATTATCTGTTAATACATTAAAGAGAATTAAAGAATCACTAAACATGTTTACTTTCCGTAGACGAATATCTGCATTTGCATTGAGTATGCAAGAAATTGCATTTGTATACTTTTCACCGCTACGTTGTTTATTCTCAGTGATTTGTCGTCAAGTTCTAGAATGCTCATCACGTTAAACAATACTGTACTTCCTGCTACTGCAATATAATATTCCTTACATGCATTTGGAAACAAACAAAAAATCAATTAATTGAACTTTTTTTCAGTTAATTAATAAACAGAAAAGTTATAAATTTCATGAATTACGGACGAGCACGCCGTCTATAGTATTGGTTGCTGCTTTCTCATTCCACGTTCTGCACAGCAAAGATTGAAACCAAAGAGGCCAAAAAGTTATGCACTTTCATACATGTATTTTGTAAGGTAAAGACAATTACCTTTTATTTTCCCGCTGTTATATGAATAACGTTTTGGACCTCAAACTTGGTAGGTTTCTTATCCACCTTCTTAACGCAGTTTTTATTTACTTATTTTGGTAGGGCTGTGGGCCAGTGAATGTCATGTTTTTTATTGTTCGACCGTTTTTATGGTCTCCTGTTTGAGACAGTTAAATTATCACTTGTTAACATTTAAGATTGACTGAATCTCTTGTTGTAACTAGACTTCTTAAAGAATAGGGAGAGCTATTGTAGTCACCCAGGCGTCGGTGTCGTCGCCACACTGTGGTTAACTATTTTCGTGCATGTTGATATCTCTATAGCTAGAGATTCATAGGAGGTCACAGTCCAAGGCCCATAACTCTAATGTAGATTTTGACAGAACTACGGTCCGTTTATATCTAAAAAAACTCTATATTATCCACGCTGAAAGTAGTTGAGGGCACTGCTTTTGTAAATAGATAAATTGCGACATATAACATTTTATTGAAGAACTCTCACTATAGTCACTGGTACAATAAATAAGCTACACTTCCCGAAAGAAACATGCGCCAGTGAAGGTAAATAATGTTTTTTACACCTTGATCCTCCCAAGGATAAAGTTATGCATGCGACAACTTAAGGTTGAATAGCCCCAAATGTTTCATTCGGGAATGTAAAATCTCGTTTCTTTATCTATAAAAATATAGGAGTGCGATACAAGACGTATCGGACAAAGTATTGCATGTCAATAGTTGTCATTTAACTTGCCAAAGTACGACATCGTATATTACAGTTGAACTTAATCAAAATGGAAGGTAACAGTTATTTAAATTTGTCTTCCTATTTTGAATAGCTTTGCTGGGGTGTATATACGTATACACGTATTAAGCTGACATGCTATTGATTATTTCCTGCCTCGTAACATTTCCCCAGTAACGTTTATTATTTTTTTTTTATTTTTGTTAATGCGTTGGGAGGTTTTTGAGAGATTTAAAAGCAGTTACGAAGCTGTTTCTTATATGTACTCACAGACATTTGCCTTTTGTTCAATAAAATTATTCATTCATATAATGTCACAAAAGTCTAAAATGTAGGAAAATGATTGACAATTGATTACAATTTCTTGTATTTTATTTCATTATTATTATAATTATTTTTATTGTTATTCATGCCATTAAAACATAACAATTTAAAACACATTATTATTGATTTCAACAAAAAGCTTAAAAGCCAAAAAATAAATTGACATTTTGAATAGAGCGAAACAAGTAATAAATTATTCTTCTATTGTCTTTTTTTTTAATACAGAACAATTTGACCTCTCAATTTTGATTTTTTTGATATTTACAAAAAATATGCATGCATGTATAAGGAAACTTTATTCTAATTTGAAATAAGGTCATAGTACACTATTTGCATAATACTCGAAAACCAAGACGTTATTGATCATATACTTATAACTATAAAACATTTAATGTCATTAGCTTTTGAATCAATTCCTCTCAACATTAAATGGAATTTCACAAAAGTGTATATACTTTCTGCGATAAATTGATTGTTTTCGTGTTCAGTTAATCAATTATGTCGTATACACAAATTTGTCATATCTCACAAATAAGATAGCAGACTCTTCTAGCTACCTACATTCGGAATAACTCCTCCCGTGTACTTCTTGCAGTAAACGTTCTTTTAACACTAGTATTTCGCTTTCTTATAAGTCGTTCAAGTTCACATCGAAACCGTTTCCCAGATAAAACATAAATGAAAAAGTTTACAGCATAATTCAATAACGAAATCGCGGCACAGACGTCAATATATGGCGTCAATGTAAGGTATACATTTCTTACTGTGTCCATATTTCCAAATTTAATTGTCAAATCCATGACCATACTGAGTGTAAACAATGGCAGGAGTGTCAATATATATGTGAAGGTCACTGTCAACAGCATCACTGTGCTTCGATTTTTTCTCCCTCTACCGCCGCCCTCCCTTCGTGTTAGACTTCTTTCATCTTTGCTTACAGCTTTCTTTACTTTAAATATTTGGTAAATCACCATACTGTTACACGTGATTATTAAGATCAACGGTATCACAAAAATCAGACCCCACTGAAAGAAATACACGTCAAGACTTGTATACAGTGCAAGATAATCCTCGCCAGCTAGACAGTCCCATATGTTGAAGTAGGGATCATATACAAGATGTTCAATCATAATAAAACGGAATGACTGGCTGAAAAGAACAACAATTATCAGAATAACAATTGCAGTAAGGGCTCCTGTTTGCTTACGAATTGCTGCATTTTTGAATGGAAAACACACAGCTATCAGCCTTTCAAGAGCCATAAAAACAACAAGCCACGAACTCATCATTGTGATGACATGTGACATATAATTGTATAATTTACAACTAGAGTCATCAAAATTTTGAAATATCCCAGGTTTAGCTTTGTGTGATACAAAGTATTCATCTACACATTCCACCTGGCGGATGATCAGTGACATTGTGTCAAACACTGCAAGAGCACATAAAAAATGAGAATATGACTTTTGACGCAAAGGCTTTGTTTTCATCACCATAATTGATAAGCTGTTACCAATTACTCCCACGAAAACAACAATTGGTGTTGATATAAATTTTACCCAGAATCCCCACTCGGATATTAATGGACCTTCCATATCTGAAATATGAAAATAAAAATATATAAAAAATAACACAAATTTCGTAATTAAAATTATTGCAACCGATTTCAAGCTCCGGCTTCAAATCACGAATCGGAAAAAACAAAAAGGAGCATAAAGTTTCAAAATATTATAATTATTATTCATTTTGCTAGCGTATTTTTAAAAGTGTATAGTTTAAATATATCTCCTGCCTACAGCTGCAGTTTACAAAATAATTTTGAAATGTGCAATAAGAAATGTCCAAAAATCTTTATCGAAGAACTATATCTATGTATTTAAAAAGAGCGAATGGTGCGTGCAAGCAATCACTGCCCAGCGGATAAAATGATCATACACAAAAGCAGTTGTTATTTTTTTGTTCCGAAACATTTATTTTGTTTAAATCAATATTAATGTTTGTTGAATAACACCACTGACTTTACGATAATAAACAAAAGAGTTTAATGTTTATATTTGCTCTTTACACCCCATAATTAGGTATACCCTTTAAGTTATACAGCAGAACATGTGTACAAAATTACCGTTGTAATAGGAAATGTTTGCACCGACACTGCAAGACTCATTCGTACCGTTCAAACAAGCCATTCTGTTTGTATGGTGGTATACTGAAATAGGGAAAACAAATTGATTGAATTTTGATTTAATTGTTTCTTTCATGTGAAAAAATGTTTAAATGTATATAAAAATGCACATATTTAGATAAGAACCACCATCCTCTGCGTAAAAAAACATAAGCATAGAGCAATAGTTGTCCTCAAGCTAAGTTGTTTGAAAAGTTATTTATCAGTATGAAACATTATAACAAAACTATAAACAGTATTTTATTCTATCAAAATCGGTGCGAAACGATCATATTGTGTTAATAGACGGTAAAATAAGTAATAGAAAGAGCATCGAAACACGAGGCTATCTGAGTTGTACGAGGAGGCGTAGCCCCCGAGTATAAATCAGATTGTCGAGTGTTTTGATGTTCTTTCTTTTTTGTATCATAGTCAAACATAAAAACACGTTCCCTGTTGTCACAATATGAAACCCCAGAAAACAAGTAACCAATAAACGAGCATCTGAATATGATATTTCTGTCGCTTCCACTCTCTCTGCCGCCACTATATGTAAACCCCAGCAAAAATGAACCAATCAAAGAGCATGCTCTGGAGTGCGGGTAACTAATACCTGCACTCCCGTTAACGCACTGTTCATGTATATGTATACAATTTAACTCTGACACATTTTCAACAGAAAGGTCCCCAAACTATGATACAAATACACTTTATTTACGCCAATGAATCAGAAAATAAAATTAAAATGTTATTTTGAGAAATCTTTCAACTAAATAACATATATGTTTGATACGACATCGAACATTAAAATTCATGTATTCATTATAACAGGACTGTTTGCAGTTTGGGAAGATTTGTTTAGGCAGAATAGTTTTGTTATCATCTATTTCTTCGGATAAATTCTAATTTTGAATACTCGGTGAGTTGTTTCGAAGTAAAAAGAGCGGCATGATTTCGGAACACATTTTACTCGGTTATATAAAAGAGTTTGGCGACAATGTACCTGTATTGATTACTGTTCTGTTTTTGCGAAACACGAAATAGTAAAACGCAACTTAGAATTCGGTGGTTTGACGACATAGCTGATTTATGCCGGGCTGCATTCTGTAAAGCTCGCTTTGTATTTATTTTTTGTTGCCATCTTTGGATAAATATTATATAAACTTATGTAACTAGATAGTATATAAAACAAAAGTAAATTTATTATCATGTGTATTAACAAGATGTTTCACTTAATTATCAATGCTAGAAATGTAATTAAAGCTAAAAATATTACAGATGAACGGCATAAGATTGATAATTGTCGGAAATGCGAAGCAGATAAGTTTATACATGTTTCCAGGTGATATTTAACTAAACTATATCGTACTGTCATGTTATGGGCACACCTGCCATCTGAATGCTTCTGATTTTAAGCTATTGTCATTGAGGTAAATAGTTATTATCTCAAACAGATTAATAAGATATTAGTTAAAAGTAGAAAACAGGAACGGTTCGAACATTGATTACGGTATAATGCATTTCAATTCGGCTTATTTAAAGATGGTATCAAATTATTCTCCCTCCTGGATTTATGTATTTCGAGAAGATTTATTAGGTCTTATTAGGTATTATAAGTTACTACTTTAACGTGTCAATGAGGGGCGGCATTATAAATTCTTCATCTGCTGATGCATATATCTATCATTGTTTTATTTTTAGACATCTATAGAACTCCTTGTGTTTTGCATGATTTGTAAACCGTATTTTACTCTAATACAAGACACTATTTACTGAAACATCGGTCGTGCTTTACGTAGTGCATGAATAAACATTCGTTGTATTATATATAGTTTAAAAGTGATATATACTTTTGAATTAAATATTATTATTTTACTAGTATTGTAGAATAATTAGCTCTACATGTTATCCACCCGACGAATTTAACTTAGTTGTTACGTTTTATTGTTCAGCCATTTTAAACACCAAGGGGAAGGTACCTTATTTATTTTTTTCCGTACCACAATTGTAATTTGAACAAACAAACAAACACTTTTTTCAACAAAATAATTCAAATGTTTGTGATAAGATTGAATTATTCCGTATTCTCGTGATTTACAAACACGCTCTCAAACAAAATATTATTTATTCCATTGAGATTGATACACTATCTATTTAAATCATTTCAATGTGCAAATTATGTTTGTTCTTGTTTCAAAACTTTAAGCAATAAAATAGTAGTATAAATATCAGAGTGTACATTTCAAAAATGATTAAAAATGTTTTTACAAACCTTGTTCGTCAAAAGTAGTTTTATATAACTTCCGTAAATGATAAACACTTATAGATGCATAAATGTTGTTATCATTAGTTTCAAATACTCTTTTCCAAGCGTATATATAACTTAATAAATGGCCATATTTCATTTAAATGTTCGTACTTTACAGTCACCTTGAGAAAATTTTAATCCTTGTTTAAAATAACAAAACATTGTAACAGTTTCAAAATTAAATTACACATAGTGATATTTTACTGTAGTTAGCAATTATATTTATTTACAAACAAAAGTCATTGTTTCGCCTAATTTTCAAGCAATCATTGTAAAAGTGTAAAACATGATTCCAATACACATAGTTTTAAAAAATACCATTAAATTGATATATTAAAATTAATTCCTATATATCCAATGCAACGCTGTTAAGAATAGTATGAATGAAGCTTTCAAACTGGTAGGCTGTCTAATAAACGATACCACATCTCTTCCTACAAGATTCTCCTGCTTAGAAAACCCAATATAAGATCAAATCTATTTCATTCAATCAGCAAACTGCTTAGAAATGTATGCATATCACCCGCAGGCTGTTTTTGATTCACAGAGAGGGACGGATACATATAAGGTAACGGGTATTGGGTGCAAGAGAATGAACGGTTAAAGCAATTAAGATTATCAATAGCTTTAATTTATGGACAAAATATTTTTGAAACTCATCTTAAAATAGAGTTTTACTCAAGCAGAAGTTCATTTGTTTCAGTAATTTAGAATTTATAGGCAATTGCAATGTAGGTAAGAAAGGTCAGTACGTACAGACACGTCGAAGATAACGCATTGTTAATGTTAACACAATCTTGAAAATTTGAATAGATATAAAGTTACCTAAAAGTAAAAAACTGAATGCATTTCAGGAAGCAAAAGGGTCTACCCTTAAATTACTAAGATACCTGCAGCAGAAAACATCATTTTGAATTGTTAACTTTGTCTTTTTAAATTAATGATGAATGAATTAGATAGATTAAGCTATTTTATCTAAATTCTTTTCCAGACAAAGTAATAAGACACTGTCCATATGTCCTTCTACCACACGTTTCTTTTTATATATGATAACAATATGAGTGGTTGATTCACGTCATAAAAACAGGTCAAAGTCTATTTATCAAATCACTGATTTGATATTTTTCTGTCATTTTCTGGCTTGATAATTTTCCTATGACAAAGCACAAGGTCTTGTTATTGTTAAGTTCATATCTTTGAGAATCCTTTAGGGTAACGTTCTACTTTTTTTCTCAGTTAACAATGTTACATCTACAGACTGTCATCTAGTACGAGTAACTTGGAATGTTAGAGACGGGTTCTCATATCTTAATTATTAAATACATATTTCATTATTGCATATTCACAAACTGGAGACACATTCCTATTATTCGCCGCAGGATTGTCTTTCTGAAATCGTTAATTGAACATATATTAATGATAGTCTAGTGACTTCCATTTTTACAGTTTCTGCATTTAGAGGAACAACTTCCGTGTAAAATTCGTAATGTTTTCTTGTTGCTGCCTCGTGTGGGGTTGTGTTCATTGAACGCCGCCTTTCCTTGTTGATCTTGTTTATCATATTTTACAAATGTGCTTTTTAAAGAAAATGCTTTTCGAAATTTTATTGGACATTCTCAAAGACATTCCTTTATTTAGAACATGTTGGTCATATTGGATATTCATTTAGTGATTCTTGGTATTTAGTAGGAAATGTTTGTGTATATTCTATTTTTGATATTATTGTGAAATCGAAATTCCTAACTACGCGTTCACTGTAAAAAAAAAATATTTCATTTAAACGAATTAACTTAATCACGTGCATATAAAGATAATACAAAAAAAGGCAAAATGAAAAGAAATAAATTAAAAAAGCAGTCCTGTGAATGTTAAATCTTGATTTATAGATAAAAACAAAAACAAAAATAATTTAACACCACATATAACGAAATTTATCAAACATAGTTTCAAACAAGAGCCTGGTGATGCTCCCCGAATAGGTTTTTGACACAGGAAAGCACACCTCTTGTAGTTTCAGAGTTATGTCCGTGGAAAAGTTCAAAGTGCAATAATTTCAAACTTAGGAATGGAAAAGTTACTGTTCTTTGCATTGCACTTCTAATCAATGTGACCTATCAACCTACAAAGTTTCTTGTTGATATCTCTTACATTTTCAAAGTTATATCCCGGACAACTTCAAAAAGTAAATACAAACAAAGGGCAATAACTCCAGAATTAGGCAATGCAGAGTTATGATTTTTGTGCACGCACATCTACCCATTGAGATATATCTACCTACAAAGTTTCATGTTGATATCTCTTATAGTTTTACAGCTATGTCCTGGACAAGATTTTTCTAAAAGGGGAAATAATTCAAAAATGAGGCTTAACAGAGTTATGGTTCTTTTGCACTGCACTTCTACTCAATGAGATCTATCTACCTACAATGTTTCATTTTGATATCGCTTATGGTTTAAGAGTTATGTTCCGTTCAAAGTGTTAAAATTAACAAAGGGCAATAACTCCAAAATTAGGACAAAAAGAGTTATTGTTCTTATGCACTGCACATCTACCGATTGAGATGTATTCACCTTCAAAGTTTCATGTTGATATCTCTTATAGTTTTAGAGTTATGTCCCGGACAAGATTTTTCTATAAGGGGAGATAATTCAAAAATGAGGCTTAATAGAGTTATGGTTCTTTTGCACTGCACTTCTACTCAATAAGATCTATCTACCTACAATGTTTCATTTTGATATCTCTTATAGTTTTAGAATTATGCTCCGGACAAAGTTCAAAGTGTTCAAATTAACAAAGGGCAATAACTCCAAAATTAGGACAAAAGAGTTATCGTTCTTATGCACTGCACATCTATCCAATGAGATATATTCACCTACAAAGTTTCATGTTGATATCTCTTACAGTTTTAGAGTTATGTCCCGGACAAGATTTTTCTATCAGGGGAGATAATTCAAAAACCGGGCAAAATAGAGTTATGGTTCTTTGACACTGCACTCCCCCTCAATGCCCTCTACCACTGTATGAAGTTTAAACAAATTATCTCCAAGGGTTTTCAAGTTATGCTTCGGACAAGACAACGGACGGACAGACGGACGGACGGACAGACGGACAAGGCGCCGACTATATAAAAATATAAAACCGTAATTAATTTAAAAAAAATATATATTTTGTCAACGATATTTGTACAGCTTTTGTTTCTGTCATGTGTCCAATTGAAATTATATTACTTATCATTATAAGTTTCATCTCAGCAGCGTGTTTCAGGTTTTTATATTTTAATAAAAACATGCAAATATAGAGCAAATGTGTAAGAAGCATATTTCAATCAAGATTTACATTGTGGTGTTCCATACTAACTATGCACATGAACATATATTTAATAACACGATAAATGCTTTTGTTATCTGCAAGACGGGCTTATCATATAAAATGTTCATGAGTATATTAATTAACTTCTGAATGCTTGTATATATCTCTGTTCTTTAACCTTTATATTCGTATAGGAGATTATACATAAGATCCCATCAGTTTTTATCAGGTCTTTAAATACCGGTTTCGATGCTCTGACATTGACCATGGACGTCGTAGGTTTTGGTTGTCTCACTAACACAGTAGAGGGAATATAGCGACTTTCTGATTTATTGGTCGCGAAAGACCTCTAGTGCCCCTCTATGCACGTTCACACACGATCGGGCAACTGATGAAGCCGTTCTTAAACTGGATAGCTAATTCAAATGATACAGATGTTATGCATCTAATAAACACTGCTCAAACAGGTACTATTGCGATTCTAACATGACAGTATGACAAAATGATGCAGATCTTTTACGCTATTATTCAAGCAGATTTTTTTTATTCGTAACAGGTTTTTACTATATTTTCATATTTCGCCGTTCCTCTCAAAAGCCTCATACCGCTATGGTACTGTTAACAAATAATAATTTTAAAGAAAGTTTACATTTGTTTATTGTTCGCTATTATTGCATCAATATTTCTACAAGTTGAGGTTCAATTGCAGACAAAATTTCAAAGAGTTTACATTGGTGTAAGATAATCACATATTTAATCATAGCCATGTTGAATGAGTTTTTTATGCTTTAAAATGAGATCATTTATGTGCATTTTTGAATTTCATGCTAAGGATAAGGTCATTCTGCTGGTTATGTATGATGAATAAATTTTCAAAATAAAATACATTGTTTGATTTAAAATAGATAAATAGAAATGTAAAAAAAATAGTTCTTTTGATACGTTTTTTATTTACATAGAACAAAAGCATAATAGGGACGGAAAAAGAAATATCAAACAAAACTTTTGTGTGTAGTGACAAATTTAAGTCCTATTGGAATTTGGTATATTTCTTGTTGTACTGTTAAAGTATACATACTTCTATATAAATCAACAGACTTTTCAAACTTTAAGTTGGTGCCTATTTGCATAGTTCTTTTCCCCTCTTTTTCTCATTTTTTTTATAAAAAGACACAAGCTTTCGTTGGCTATTACATGCTCTATTAACATTTCAAGTTGTAATTGAAAATTAATTGAGTTGTCAAAGACCTAGCTAGAATCAAAATTTATTACTATAAAAATACAAAATGCACAGTCAACTGGATTTTATAATTTGTAAAGAAGATCTGTTTCTTTATTATACAATTACATACATTCATCATCAGTAGAATATGGCACAAAATAGAAATTTCTTAAAAATGCTTTTATGTAGTAATAGAGGGTCAATACTGAGTTAATTGTTCGCACATTGTCCTTCTTTTTATTGTTCATTTATAAATCTCATTGGTTTAACTCAGGTAATTAAATACCGGTTTCGGGTTTGATGCTCTTAAAGTGACCATTGACGTCGTATGTTTTGGTTGTCTCAGTAACACAGTAGATGTGATATAGCGACTCGCTGGCTTTATTTGTCTCAAAATTCCTCAGGTGTCCCTCTATTTTCTTTCAGACACGATCGGGCACCTACAGAGCTATTCTGTAAACTAGCTGGATAACTACTTCACATGAAAAAGGTGTTATTTAGCTAAATTACCCCACTCAGACAGGTATTATTTTAATTCAAACATGACGGCAAGACAAAATGATGGAGATTAATTAAAGTATTCTTCCGCGTTATATTGTATGTTTTATATATATTTTGTATTATATTTAGCCATTCCACTCAGTTTTTTTGTCACTAAGGTAAAGAAAAAAAGAAGAAATAAGATGATAACAATCATTTAAAATAGTGCATAAAAATTTTATTGTTAGATATTTTTGCATCAGTAAAATCTCTTTCTTTTTTGTACTGATAAAGTATATGAAATAGTGCTACATAAATCGCCAGACCTTATGAATTTTTAGTTACCAGTTGCACAGTATTCTCTTTCCTCTTTTTTCTCAAATCATCATAAAATGACACAAGCT